GTTGGGGCGTTGGCAAAGGTGAGGGAACCGTACACGTGCCGAGTGTCCTCGGCGGAGGCCCTCGGTGAGGAACACAGGACCCCCAGGAATTAGTACCACAAGCGGCAACCTGGGACCCTGCCCGGTGCTGGCTCTGCTCCCGGGCGTCTTCTTAGCACGTGGGGGCAGCGTGTTCCCTCCGTTGTGGACGAGCCGAGCGGCCGCACAGATGGTTCCCCCGAGTCCTCCCCAGTAGGCGGGCCTGCCGCCCCTCCTGGCTGGGTGGAGGTCCCAGGTCGGCTCCACCCCGAGCTGGGCTCGCGGCCTTTGACCGTGTGCCCCTGTCCTATGACAGGGTCTCTGGGGTGCAGCCCCTCCCCCCACCCCGGCAGTGGGGACAGGGAGGCTGGAGGGGTCGCTGGCAGCTCTCAGAGGCTGCAGGACTTGTGCTTGCTGACCAGACCGGGACTTGCGGGCCTGTGTGGGTCCTCGGGGGACTTGCCCGGCTGCGCCCAGAGCCCCAGGGTGGGGGGTGGGGGGTGGGGGGCGGGGGTCTCCTCAGGTCCCATCGGGCCGGCTGCAGGAGCGGGCTGACCCCCGAGTGCCCTCCGCCCTGCACCTGGCCAAGGCCTGCACTGGGCTTCGTTGGTGCCACCGGCCACGCTGCGGGGCCCCCTCTCCCACACACCCACCTCCCTCTCCCGGGGACTGCCGGCGGTGCCCCCAGCTGTGTCCTTAACTCCGGCGCCCAGACATGGAGTTCCTGGAGGTCCTGACCGAAGGACTCAACAGGGTCCTCCTGGTCAGGGGCGGCGGCCGGGAGGTGGTCACTATCTACTCCTGACACGCCGGGCGGGCTGGGAAGTGTGCCCTGTGTGGCTTCATATACAAGTTTCCAGAATGGCCCCACAGCACTCCTCTCCGGGCCAGGAGCCAGCACGCAGCTGCCGAGGTTTCCTCGTTTGGAGGGGAGACGTCGATGCTCGAGGGGACCTGGGACGCAGCCCTCCGTCTCCTGACCTCCTGACCTCCACACTCGGGCTGTGGGCTCCAGACGTGGTTTCCTTGGCCCCAGCTACCTGGTTTCATGGTTAAGTTTTAGTTCTGCCCCATCCAAGACGCTCACGGGAAACCTCGCTCGGACAGAAGGTCACCCTCGGGCCACGAAGCATCTGTTCAGGAAGGTGGCCGAGGGCCTCGGGTCCTTGGTCAGCCTCCTCAGCACCTGTCCCTGTAATGTCCCTGTTCGTGTTCCTGTAAGTGAAGTCCGAGAAGAGCCGTCCACGCCTACGCCCCAGGCTCAGCCGGGTGGCCTCACTCGCGAGCCCGCCCAGTGTGGGCACATCTGCCCAGCCTGGGCGTGTCTAGAAAGGGAACCCCGGGGGGCGTGGGGTGGTCATCTCGTGGGCATTCCGGTGGGCTCCAGGCTGGCTTTGCGGCCAGGATGGCAGCGGGGTCCCGCGTGGGCACAGGGCGCGGGAGTGGTAACTAACTGCTGAGGATTCACCGCGTGTTTACCCACCTACACGTGGCCGCCCGTGGACCCGGGTCTCGCCAGGCTCCCAGGAAGGGGCTGGGCTGCAGCTGGGCGAGGTCCTGGGGCGGCGGTGGCGTGTCCCCTCCCACCGGCATGGAGGGAACAGTGGCGGCGGTGCGTGGGGGCTCCGTGGGCTGCCTTCCGATGGTCTGTAGACTTCGTGCTTTACCCTGGTGTCTGTGCTCTAGGTCCCGAATGTGCCACCGTGGGCTGTTGCCCTGACCTGGGCCTGCTGTCTGTACGGCTTATTTATTTAAGCCCCTGGGGAGTTTAAGTGGTAATTAAGGTGCCCATGAAGAGATTGTTTCTGCGAACAGCCCCAAAGGGCCGGGTCCCTGGCTTTCTCTGGCTTCCTTGGACATCCTGGGAGGTCAGCCAAGTCCACGGATCTGAAGTCTGGCACAGGCTGAGTGTGTGCGTCCAGACGTCTCCAAGGCGCAGCTGGGCGGCACAGAGGGTCCGCATCACATCAGAGTGACCGCTGGCCAGAGCGTGTGCCAAACCACGGCAGCCGGGCTCGGGGCGTCCACACTCTTGCCCGACGTGGGTCTGCACCGAGTCAGGTGTCGGGTGGGGGGCGTGCCCAGGGCCCCTTTGCCCAGAGGGCACCTGTGAAGCCACAGCGGTGCTCACACTGGCTGAGGAAGAGCCACCGCGTAGCAGGACCGCCCCTGTGACCCTTAACCCTTGTTCACGCGGCGGCGATGTTCGCGGCACACTGCGGGTGAGGGTTCAACTGCGCCCACACACCCTTTTCTGCACTGAACTTCGTGGAACCCTAACTGCAGCCACTCTAAGTTGGTTCCGTGTCTCTTTTATAGCTTCCTTTGTATGATTTTGTTGGTAGAAGAATAAATTGTATAAACCTGAGCATGTCGAAGAGTCCTGTGCCTCATTCGGCAAGAAGACTTGACAGTTGGAGGGGTGTCCGGACCCTCTGTCCGTGGACGTTTGTGGTCTGATCGGCCAGGGCAGACGCCGGTGGCTCAGGAGCTGCCACTGGAATTGGGCACGAGAAGTAAACAAAGCCACGAATCCGCAGGGAGGTGTCTGACCCCCGTCTTTAGTCATGCTGCGTCATAACGTCGTATTGCTGTTGGCTGAAATTGTAATTCTCAGAAGGGTGGGGTCGGCAGAGAAAACCCGTAATTAGACGGAACCCCATGTTCCGAAGACCTACAGTCGGACCCCCGATGGACCGAGCCACCCAGGCGCCCCTCAAGGGAGTGAAACTCCAGCGGGCACGGCGTGGATGAGCTTTGGAAGCACAGAGAAGCCAGTCAGAGGTCAAGTGTCGTTTGGTAACATTTAATGCGAACAGGCCAGGATGGGCCAAGCCAGAGACCGGAAGTGCGGGGTGGTGACAGTTCCCGGAGCAGGCGGGCAGTGAGAACCGGTGACCGACCAGGGCACAGAGCTTCTCGGGGTGGGGGGGGGGGGGTGATAAAAGTGTTCTAAAGGGGGTTGTGAAGTTTGCACAATCTGAACGACTAAAACGAGGCTGTGCTGTGTGAGCTGTCGGTTCCCGGTGTCTCCCGTGGGCCTGACACGTGGTGGACACACAGCACTGCTGGGGAGCAGAGGCCTGGCCTTTGGGGCAGGGGACCGAGATGCCACAGGCACGGAGGTGGCCGGGTGAGGGGCAGGCAGAGACGTGGGGGGAAGACTTAGCAGAGCCCAGGGGTCCTGACTCAGCCACGGGCCCACAGGTACTCGTGGGTCAGGTTATGTAGCTGAGAAGCCTGTGTCACACCTTATCAGAGACATTTAGTGAGTCCTGTCTCTGCCAAGAGGGATCCCAGACCCCCCCCCCCCCCCCCC